CTGTTGTGGGTATTGTTTATTCATTTTAGCATATTTTATTTAGCATATCTATTTTAGATATAAGGTACATTCCCTGACTATATTTTATAGTTAGTAGTTTTTGATTTTGAGAGAACATGACACATACTTCATAAAATCTGAATGGCTACTGGGACTTGAATATATCTTTAAAAAATTAGTTCTTGATTTTTTAATTTACTCTTTTGTTCCTGGGTAAGATACAGATAACACACCAGCAGAATTTAGCCATTTAACTGTATCATCAGTGGAAGAATCAGTGGAGGGCACCTCATCTACTCGAAGGCGGGACTCTGGACTTGGTGAAGAAACAGCTTCTGCCTTAGGAAGCAATCTGTCTGCAGCTTCTCCAGCTGCGCCTTTGGATGTCTGCGCTGGTCCAGATGCCATCAGTGAGGTGCTGTGCACTCTTTCTTTGGAAGTCAATAAATCTCAGGAAACAAAAATTGATGGAGGAAACGAGTTGGATAGGAAGGTGACTGCAGCAGTTCCAGTTTCAAAAAATGTCAACGTGAAGGACATTCTCCGGAGCTTGGTTAATATGCCAGCAGATGGAGTCACAGTAGATCCAACCCTTTTACCCCCAGCATGCCTTGGTGCTCTTGGAGATCTGTCTGTTGACCCACCGGTACAGTTCAGATCTTTTGACAGGTATGTACATTACCTTTTGTTTCAGTATGCTTATGTTTGCAAATTCTAAAGGTAAACAGGAATTCATTATGAAAGTCTAAATTTAGTGGCTTTAACATTAGAGTAGAATGTTTTGATCTAATTTATAAAAAAATAAGGTAGTTTTGTTGTGTGGTTTTGTGCAGTATTTCAAACTTTTATTTATTAACATTTTTTGAAAATTATTTGAGGTGTATTTTTTGTAATGCTCATTGTGTGTAAAAGAGACTTCCTCCCTCCCGCCCTTCCTCCCTCCCTTCCTCCCTCTCTCCCTCCCCCCCTCTTGTTTTTTGGTTATACTTCAGGCATTATTTGAACTTACTATATATAGTTACCTATCATTTCCTTGCTTTCAGTTGTGTCAGCCTTTGTGACAACAACAACATAAAGTGGGGATCCAGATGTCAGCAAACATGAGAATTCAATCAGGTGTTCTGAGCATGGGCAGTGTGAAAAAGCTAACTGAAGAATCTTTGTTGATTGTGTGTAGCCCACAGGAATTTTTGTTTTTATAGATTTGCCTATTTTTCTAACTACCCAAGACCTCAGTATTGCTAGGGATATAAGCTCTACAATTAGTTATAATATATTATCAGCCTGTTTTCTTATGTTCTACCTTTAACACATAGCTTTTGATGAATACTTTTAAAAATTAGTATTTTTATCTGGAAACAAGCTAATGCATAGAAAAGTTCCTACTGCAAAATTTATTATATTTTTTTGAGACATTAAATAGCTAATATGATACTTAAATACTCTTTAATACTTTCTGGGCTTTCTGTATAGATATTCTATTATTTTTAATAATAAAATTAACATTTATACAATACTTTTTAAATTTTAAAATGATTACTGCAATTATTATTTAAATTTCTTTAAAATTATTTAATATTTTTATTTATTTTTTATGACTATATATTTTTTATTTTATATAACCAAGTCCATTTAAATGAAAACAAACATTTATAGACAATATTTGGGAATTTGGGCGTTGTTCTTTCCAAACTCCTGCTGGTAAGGGGCTTTTAATTTATTTATATACACACACACATACACTCACACACACACACACACACACACACACACACACACACACATATATATATGTATATGTATATATATATATATATATATATATATATATATGGTACTTTAATTATTCCTGCCTCATTTTCCTCTTATCCAAATCCACCTCCTATTCAACCCCTTCTCCCCAGCAACTATCATTCCTACTCTGATAATTTTGTGTGTGCTTCACTGCCTTATTTATTTATTTTCAATTATATAAGTGTGTGTGCTGTTATGTGCCCATGAGTGACAGGTGCTTGTGGAGGCCAGGGGATCCATTGGAGTTGGAGTTATTTATAAGTAGTTGTGAACCAACTGATATGGGTGCTGGGAACTGAACTCTGGTCCTTTGCAAGAATGGTGTATACAGTTAGTCACTGAACCATTTTTAGATGCTTCTTTATGCACACTGCATTTAATTAGGACTTTTTTGCATGAGCATGTACAGTGGGTAATTTATTTGAACAAGGACGATTTATCAGTGGCTATACTATTGAGGAATTTGATATTTCATCCAATAGCAACCATTTTACTTCCATAGCTTCATAAAGAAGGGTGGGGCCTTCCTTTATCAATGCAGATTTCATACAGGTAACCACAGTTTTTGTAAGTTCAAGGGTACTGTAGCCATGCTGTTTCTAGAAGACAGCATTTCACAGCACTTCTTTTCATCCTCCAGCTCTTACATTGTTTCTGTTCACTCATTTGCAGTGTTCCCTAAGCCTTGGAGCTTGTGATATGATGTTTCACTTATTTTTTCCCTTTGGCCAGTTGTGAGTTTGTCTCTTAACTGGTAGTTTCTGCAGACAGAATTTTCTCTGACAAGTCTAATAGCAGTAACAATCTATGTGTAAAATTACAAATATTTAGAAGGTAATTTGACAGCATTCAGAGAAATAATAGCCATAGGTTCCTTCTTCTAGTTCCCTTAACCTCCCACCCACGAATTTTTGACAAGGTTTATAATACCATATGTGGATTCCCTTCTGTAGAGCTGGTCTCTAATCCAAGCAGAAAATGATTGGGCACTCACATAGCAATTATGCTACTTACTATTGCACCAATGAGAACATATGGCCTGGTAGGCTGGTGGTGCAGAATTCTTAGTTTGGTAGGACTTGTAATGACTTTTTCCCTTCAGCATCAGTCATAGTACCTTCTGACTCCAAGACAGCCTGCCAGCAGGGAAGAAGCTTTTAGTTCAATTTTTACTTGATTTTTTATGTTCTATAACCAAAGTGTGTGTGCTTTAGCAATAGGGCCATATCACCTGGCTTTTGTGGGCAACCAACAGCAGTGGGAATAGCCTGTTCAATAACAGTCTTTTAGATCAAATGATCCAATTTGAGTTTATAGCTTTTCAAGTCTTTGGATGTCCCTCATGTCTATTTATCTAATGTTGCCTTAGAATTAGATTCAGGTTAGTACATTTTTGGCAGAAATATCACAGAAGTGACAGCTTCTTCTTGATGCTTGTCCAGTGGCATATGTTTTGCTTTATCTTATTAGTGATGCAACTTACTCAGGTCAGTGATTACAGTGGTATGTACCAAGTCTCTCTACTATTATGGAATTCTTTGTGAATATAGGCTGTAAAATTCCATCACTTTATAGATTTTCTGTTCATTCATTTTATGGTCTTAAGGTTCTCTGTTTTATTTGGTGGATCCTAATGTTAGAGGCATCTACATATGAGATTGTGTTGTGTAGTAATGCTTTTCAGTTAATTTAGTCTTTGTCCTCTTAATTCCCTCTTTTGTAAATAGTGTCTTACTATGTTGTCCAGGTCAGCTGCAGATTGCTCAGCTCAAATGATTATCTTGCCATAGATGCTTGAACTCATGGTGATATTTCTGTCTTGGCCAAGGCTAGGATTATGGGTACAAGCTACAATGCCAATTTAAAGTTAACTTAAATTTGTGCTACTGTGAATAATACTAAACAATTGGGTGGCTATGTATTTTAATTGGCTGTGTTCTATTTGTATACTTAAAATGTTTTTTAATGAATGACAAAATTTTTTTTTATTTTGGCATTTATTTGTTTATTCAATAATGTTGAAATTAGATCTCCCAGTGCCTTAAGTCAGATTATTAATTTACTTAGGGAATCCTGCTTAGGTGCTTATTTTAAAAAAGATTTGTTGAAGTAAGAAAGAAACAGTAATTTTGCTGGCAGCATTTTTGGGATGTTCTGTGGAACTTAACATGTCTGGTATGCATTTAACATATTGTCTGATGGAGTACAATCTTCTCTGTCTTTCCCCCTATCTTTTTCCTTAGCAAGAGACACCTTTTGAAAGATTTTTCTTGACTCCACGGACTAGTGGAGTGTCTTTGGGAATTTCAAAGCATCCCTCTGATCGTGTATTTATCTCAGGAATGCTGTGCCAGAAATCAGAACTCTCCTCATATCTTAAGAATTATCAACTCCCAAGCAATCACTGGGAAGTTTAGAGTAACAGCTACATGAGTGAGCCCTTGCTGAAAGGCTGCCAGGTTCAGTGTCTGCAAAAGGGAAGGTGTTTGTGTTCATTCCCATGCCAAGATTCCTGCTCTTATCTAATTTGAAGATCCTTGCTGGCGATTAATGGGTGCCAGGGATTTATCTTGATAAAGTTCAAGGACTGGTCTGTGTTTTCAGTTGAATCCTTAGGGACTAAATTACTCAGCTGAGTTTTTATTTTTCCCTTTTGGTTAACCATTAAATGAAATAGCAGTGTGAAAGTTTGTAATGTTTTAAACTGATATGATTTTAAAATGAAAATTCTGAAACACTCTGGAAGATATTATTGCTATTTATTTGTGCTTATTAGTAATTATTGAAAGAACCTTCAAAGTCCCTAATTTAGGAAAAATGACAACAAAAATATTTTCATTAGTGATGTGTGGGATTAGAAAAAGTACTTAAAACTCTGTACAATTCAGATAATAATGACAGATTTTGAGTTTATTTTTTAAGTAGAGACTTAAGACCTAGGGCATAATCAGTGGTGAAGTTTCTACCTAGTTTGTGCTAGATCATGGGCTGAATACCCAACACAAGAGTCAGGGATGGAAGAATGAAAAACATAAACATACTTGATAACAGTATATTCTCAAAGTGAGCTCTGTCTATGTTGCATTTGTTTTTTTTGTTTTTTTTTTTCCAAAGAGACTCAGCCATATTGTGTTACTGCTCAAATCTGAATCAGGTAATTGATTCAGAAATTACTAATTTTTTGTGTATACTAATTCATAGTTTGAACAAATAGCAAGGGAGAAAACATGATCACAAAGATGATTTTCCAGAGTCTATATTATCCATTGCACTACAGATGTGCTGACCTCTGAGATTTCCCAAATGTGGGAAATTTGACTGTATAATTTCTGGTAGTGGGGAACTATCTTCATCTTCTCCTTTATTAAGATTAAAAAAAAAATAAAATAAAACTTAATTTTGTATTTATTTTCTGATATTTTTGTAATTTAACAGTGTATGCATAGTTTCTTATCTTGAAAATCTCCACTTTTGTTCTGTGTAGATGACTATAATGTAGATAGATATATTTAAGTGTTAACATGAATATGATGGTAGGAGAACTTAGCGAACACACTGAAAACCTTTTAGTTGTATGCTTTATGTGCATGAATTGTATGACATGTGAGTTACAGCTTAGCAAAACTTGAAAAGCAGTTCATCATGAAGCAAAGGCGTAAGTCAGACCATCTGAGTTGGGATGCATTCCTAAAATCTACTTTGATAAGTTACTTTACTTTCCTGAGCTTGCTTAAAACTTCAAAAAATGTCTTAAAAAGCTGTTTGGTGGCACATGTCTGTAGTCTTAGGACTTGTAAAGGGTGAGGACAAGATGGTAAGAGGATGATTAGGAATTCAGGGCTCTGACTTGCGTTACCTTTCATATTTTTCCCTCAGTTATTTTTTTTTAAATGAAATTAATGTATGCCTTAAGATTGTTTTTCAAATTGAACTCTACATTTTTGAGAATATGTGCGAGACTGAGCAGTAAATACCTGAATGGAATAAAAAGAATATAATATTTTCACTATTGAAAGTATTATTAACAGTATGCTAAATGTTTAAAAATGAAATCAAGGGTTTGTTGTGTTTTAATTAACCATGGACAAATAAGGATTGTACCTGTGAAACAAATATGAAATGTAGAATTTGATGAGCTTTGACCAGTTTATGTACTTGTGTTACACAAAACATCAGTCAAGATTTTTCCTTTCCACCCAGCCATTGTCCCTGTCCCTCAGAGGCAATTGCTATTTTAACATTTTGTACTTTATTGGTTTACCTGCTCCAGAACTTTTTAAAAAGGGAATCTTGATCATAGGTTTCCTTAATTTAACCTAACACCTTTGAGATTCATCCCCTTTGATAAGTTTATTAGCGCTCTACCATATTATTATATAATAGTATCCTACTATATACGTACTCACCATTTAAAAGTTTAGTTTTTCTGTATGAAGTAAATCTGAGCAGTTGTCAGTTTTCAGCTACTTTAATGCATCTGCAAGCATAATTGTATTATTGCATACTTAAATTTTCTGATATTGGGCCATAGGATAAATTTGTCTAAAATTTTGATTATAGAGCAAGTAGATTATTTTTCCAATGCTGTGAATTGAACATTGCCCCTCAGGCATGTTAGGCAAAATGCTGTGCCACTGCCTGCCCACAATTTCACTAATACCCCCTTGCTCATAATTTTACTAACCTAAATGTTATTCTCCCACCGGTAAATATCTGTGGTATACATCAATCAGATTGTTATGGTTCTTTTGTGAACAAATGCGAAAGTGAATTGTATGTACTTGTCATCTTTCTACCTTATTGTTAGAGCATAGAGATTTTCTTACATATTGGTATATTAATTTCTGGCAAGAGTAGGAAAAGCAAACATCCATTATATTTAGTGTTGTTTTCTGAGGGTACCAACAGAACATATGTATGTGTGCATGTGTGTGTGCGAACGCACACAGAGGTCATGTTTACTTCTCTTTAAGTCACTGGTCTTCATCTGATATAAGCTACCATGATTTAAGCACACCATTTTGGGATGGTGGGCTCAGGTGGCTGTTGCTTCTATTTTTTAGTATATAGTTAACATTGGCAGTCACCCTTATAATGATGTGACACCAGCTACCCCCAAGTACATTGAATAAGCCTTGCCTAGCACAAGATAACTTGATTTAATTGGCAACAGTGTTTGCTCTCAAATGATAGTCACTGAAGTAAAACAGAACCTATTTCACTTTGTTCCTCCTTTTTTTAAAATTAACAATAGATATTTATTTTTTAAAATAATAGAATTCTGTGATTTAAAAAGTATGGATACACTTATTAGGATAAAGTACCTAAGTGATTTTGTTTAAAAATCAAATACTTTAAAGCTATTAAGGGAATACTTTCAGCTTACAGTATTGTCAACAAAAGACGTGATTAAATAAATTGAATGTTGAAGACTTTAAGCTTATGGTTAACACTGGGTAATTAAAAGTAAGAGCTGCTGTGGGAGTACATTATATATCAACTGTCCTTTTACCTCATTAACTGGGTTTTTGCATGTTTATGGAGCTAACTTCAATTAAAAATGCCTTTTAAGTTATGTCTAATAAGGTCTTTTAGTTACTCTTTTAGTATAAAGTATTGCATTTTAATTGAAATTGGTATATCATAAATACCTGTGCTTGAATAATACACAATACAAACAACTGGTTATTTAGCACCATTTCTGTTCAAAAAATTACCCTTGTTTTCTATGAGCTGTATACATGTATCCATTACTTATTTCGGTATTGTCTTTTAAGATACTTAAGGTTTTATGATTTCAGGTTAACAGTGCTTTAAAATCCTTGAAACATACTGAGTTTTGTGCATCAGTTTTGACATTTTAAAAAAAGTTAAACTCTTGTCTTGTTAAATTCTCAAAATCCCCCCCCCCTCCCCGCAAAAATTATCTTTGGTTATGTTTATTAGAAAATTCAAGATGATCTTAAATCTGAAAACATCTATTGTAGTAAATGTTGGTTAAAATGTTAAAATGGATTATTTTCATAGGACATTGTCCTAGTTTTAAAAACAATGAGGCTAGGAAATAGCTTTCCAGTAAAGTGTTTGATGTGCAAACAAAAGGACCTGGGTTTGATCCTTATAAACCAATGTTTTTTAAAAGCTGTGTGTTTGTGGAAGAGAGAGTGGGGAGGTGGCTGGGAAGATGGTTTAGAGGTTAAGAGCACTGGATGTTCTTCCAGAGGTTCTGGTTTGATTCTCATCACCTACATGGTAGCTCACAACTGTCTGAAACTCTAGTTTCAGGGGATCCAATGCCCATTTCTGGCCTCTATGGACTCCAGCCACACATACAATACAAAAATATGTGTAGGTAGACCAGTCATACATTAAAGACCACCCACCCAAACAAACGAAAACCTGAATGTGACATACTCTTGTAAACCTAACTCTGGGGAGATAGACTCTAATGAACCTTGGGGTTGAGCAGTCAGCCAGTCTAGCCTGCCCAGCAGTTTTCTGCTCTGTGAGAGACTTCTTTCTCAAAAATAAGGGGATTGGCTTCTGAGGAATAACATACAAGGTTGTGCTCTCTCTTCTCTCTTCCCTTCTCTTTCCCTGCCTCTCTCTAAAAGAGAAAAGGACACATAAATATTGACAACAGTGAAGAGACTTTAAGTTAAATGGATATTCTAAAGCTTATATCAATTGGGCAGTGTTGGCACAGCCTTTAAGCTCAGCACTCAGGAGGCAGAGGCAGGCGGATCTCTGAGTTCGAGGCCAGCAGCCTGGTTCACAGAGTGAGTTCTGGGACAGTCAGGGCTACACAGAGAAACTCTGTTTTGAAAAACAAAACAAAACAAAACAAACCGAAACAAAAAAGAATACATCAAAAAATAAGAAGATGGAAGCTAGCTTCTTTTTATTTTGAAATGTGTAATTAATGTAAATAATTTATATTTTAAAATCTTTATTACAGAAGTGTCATCATTGCAACAAAAAAATCAGCAGTCTTACCTTCCACTCTTCCTACAAGTGCAACTACCAATGCTGTCAGTGTGGTTTCTTCAGTAGATTCTACCCAAGTCTCAGATGTGGGAGGAGAGTCACCAGGTGAGTTAGGTGTCAATGATATCAACATAATTTTTAGATCCTATTTTAGCTAATCTTAAAATTTATTTATTTATTTAATTTATTTTTTATATTTATTTTACATATCAATCCCAGTTCCCTCTCCCTCCTTCCCTCTTTCCCTCTCTCCCACCCTCTCATGCCCCCCCCCCCCCACCCCGACTACCTTCCCCTCTTATTTCCTCCCCACATGTACCAACATGGTCACATAAGAAACTTCAAACACACTACCATGCAAGTAATGTTGTAAAGTTAGGAAAAGGGAACATCTTATACCAGTAATATTGATCAGAAGGTCATTCTGTTTCATAAACATAGTAGTAACATGGTTGCAAGAACCACCAAAGGACTCACACTGTGACTCTAGGATGACGTAACTAAAACAAGAAAAATCCTACAAGAATCCCTTGTTGGATTAAAACATCAGAAATAATGTTTTTACTAATTTTGGGACAACTCATAAGGATCTGCTTTCCTATTTTTATTTGGCAAACTAGTCAATCTTGGCGGGTTTTGATGTTATTTCTAGACTAGCCACTAGTTAGCCAGTCCCTGCCCAGTACTGTGTTTTGTGTTATGTGTTGACAAAGTAAATACAATTATTCCTCTCCTTTTTCTTAAATTTCTTCTTTTTGAGATTGGGTGGTGTAGGCTGGCCTTGAATTTACTGAAACTTGTTTTCCTTTTGTCTGCACATCCCAAATGCTGAAATTTGCCACCATGCTTGGTTTATGTGGTGTTGGAGACATACCTGTGCTAGACAAGCATTGTACCAACTTACCTACATATCCAGCCCTAGTTTTTACTTTTATTTTACTTGTCTTAACAAAATTCAGTTCCAAATGTAATTAATTCTTAGAAAATGTTCATAGTATGCTAAAGAAAATTGATACTTTATGTATTGTTCAATTGTAACTATGTTAAGTATATAGCTTCTATGTATGGTTCTGTGTATGGTTAAAGTAAGACAGTACATTGCAAAGTTACTTGAGTAATTTCATGAGTTGTACTACTGGCTCTCATGTTCTATTGGGTTTCATGTAGCCTAAGCTGGCCTTGAATTGCGTGTGTAGCAAAGAATATCCCTAACTCTTGGTCTTTACATCTGTTGTGCTTGAGAGCTCTACTACTATGACATATTTAATTTCTCTTTTAGAATTTACTTTTATTGTCTGTTTTGTTTCTCTGTCTCTTTCTCTCTCTCCTTGTGCTGAAAACTTAATCACTGAGGTAGATCCCCAACCCCTATCAAT